TCTCTCACCCCCTTCCAGGGTCAGTACCAGGCCAGGAGTGCCCCTTGGCAGTGCCCCCCACCACACTAGGTGTCCCCCTCAGCCCGGCAGTCACCTCTCGGGCGGTGCAGGCCTCCTCTCCGGCCTGGGTGTTCTCGGTGACGACGAGGCCCGACAGGCCGCTGTGAGCCCCGGAGAGCGTTCTGGGAGGAATCCTGGATGGCGGCCGGCCGACGGGGAGTGAAGAAGAAGAAGCAGCCGATGGCAACAGACACCGAGAAAAGCTACCATCCGGGACAATGGCGGCCGCCAGACCGAAACAACCGAGGGCCGAACCCACCGGATACCCGAGCGAATCGATGAGGAGCCAACTAGGATCGAACTGAGCCAATCACAGGGCGGCGTCCTCGGCCAGACGAGAGCAGCCGAGTGCGGCTGAGGTGATGTAGGCTGATTAATCGAGCTGCTGGCACTTGTCAGTCTCCACGTCTTGGGGAATTGTGCAGGTTGTCAGAGTTGGTTTCATTAGTGCTTCTGATCTCCGTGGGCAGTGTTCAAGAAATGCTAGTTGTTCGGCTGCCAAACCTACCCAGTGTCATCAGTAAGCTGAGTAACTGATGTAGAACAATATGCAGATGTGGAAGTTCAGCTTAACTTGCTGCATGCTTGTTTGTGTCAGTGATATGGAAACTGTGGAAGCCAGAGTTAGCCAGGCAATTTGCATTTTCTTAAGAGCTTTGCGTCCATCTTCTATCCAACCTTTTCTAGGTGCCTTGGATAGTTTTTACTCCACTGCATGCTCTGTGGACACGGAGATCTTTAAGAGAGCGAAACAGCAAAACGAAAAAATTGTGAGCAGGCCGGCTTTTTAACACGGAAGAGGCTCGCTATGTCTGATCTGCAACAAAACGAACACTGGCCTGTTCACAAATCTGCTTTAGAATGGACACTGAGCTGCTATACACCAGGGGTGGGCAACTCCGGCCCTCCAGCTGTGCTTTAACTACAAATCCCATCATGCCTGTAACTGTCAGTCTTTGCAATGCGTCATGGGACTTGTGGTTCCACAACAGCTGGAGGGCCGCAGTTGCCCACCATGGTATACACCATCAGCCGGAATAAGTAAACATTGTGTTAGAGTTACGTCATTCCAGTGCGGCCAATCAAAATGGCTGAAGATCCCTAACCCGGAAAATGACTAGGTGAAGATATCAGTACAGGTGAGGCGAGGGAGTATGGCTCCACTGTAACACACCGCCACCTGGGAAGTTACGCAAGTATTCAAACTACCCGTCCTGCGTTTTGTTACTTAAAAGAGAACTTTGGGGTAAGTGTTTTTCCCCATAGTTCTCCTAAGGGTCACGGGAGGACATAAACTAACCTCCCGTGACCCAAAGCTCAATATATCGCGAGCTACAGCTCGCTGTATACTGAGACCGACGCAGCCGGGACGTATCCCGACATTACTGTCGAGATCCACCCAGCTGCGTGATTGACAGCGGGCTCTGGCTAATTAGAGGCAGAGCCAGCTGTACCGGCCCCCTCCCCATTCCTCCAGTCAGTGCTGGAGGAGAGGGGAGGGGGAATCCCTGCAGGGAGCCGTGAGTGACAATCACGACTCTCTGCAGGGACGTGAGCGAGCGACGGTATGTGTTCGCTCACTTCCCAATCTACTGAGCCGACCTGTGACAGTCTCATTGTCACAGGTCGGCTAGAACTATGAGGTGAGTGAAAAGCACTCCCCTCATAGTTCTCCTTTTAATGGCTTGTTTTGGTCTAGGGGGTTCAAATTACAAAGTTATACTCACCCGATCGTCGGAGTCGGCTTGCTCTTAGCCCGGTCCCTGTAGCCTCGCTCCCCCTCCACTGCAGCAGTCTTAGGATCATTTGAGTAGAGTGTATATGGCATGAGGATGCCAAGGGACATTCCATCACTCGGCACAAGAAGAGACAGGCTGCAGGAAGTGCTGTCAAAGCCGGCCAGACTCCGAGGTTCAGGTGAGTATACCTTTGTCATATCCAGCCCCAGACCAAAACGAGCGGTTAACCCATGCCGTGGGGCTACCAATACATAAACATTACCCGCAGTTCTTCTTTTAAAGGAGAACTATGAGGCGAGTGATTTTTCACCCAACCTCATAGTTCTAGCCGACCTGTGACAATGAAACTGTCACAGGTCTGCTCAATAGATCGGGAAGTGAGCGAACACATACCGTCGCTCGCTCACTTCTCGATCCTGTCCTTGCAGAGAGCTGTAACTATCACTCACGGCTCCCTGCAGGGATCCCCCCCCTCCGATTCTCCAGCGCTGACGGTCGGAGGGGGCGGGTACAGCTGGCTCTGCCTCTAGATAGGCAGAGCCAGCTGTCACTCACGCAGCTGGGTGGATATCGACAGTAATGTCGGGATCCGTCCCGGCTGCGGCAGTCTCAGTATACCGCGAGCTGTAGCTCGCGGTATACTGAGCTTTGGGTAACGGGAAGACACTAGTTTATGTCCTCCCGTGACCCTGAGGAGAACTATGGGGAAAAACACTGACCCCATAGTTCTCTTTTAATGCGGGAGAAATGATCTGCAGGAAAAAGGGCTGACGTCGATGTGCGTTTTTTGCCAGACCTTGCATGCAGTGAGTTCCAGTACATCACGAGCCCCTGGCGTGTCATGCACCAAGTTATAAGTAGTCTGTAGTTCAGGACTAGTGATAGTTGTACATTAAAATATAATCAGACAGGATATGGTGAGGTGGAACTAAAGGAACCAAGAAGAAGCGTATCTAAACCCAAAAACAAAAAGGTATCATATTGCAGCTCAGTCCTTAGATGTGATGGCTGCATTAGTTTTAATTTTTACTTGTTGATCCTGCCAGTAACACACTTCCTGTCCTAGGGTGACAACACTCATTCACCTTTCTGTATCAGGACAACAGAAACAAGATAGAACTGTGGATCCCTGCCCCTCTCCCACTGTCCATAATAAAGATGCATGGAGCTGTAGTCCTCAGAGAACAATGTACATGATAGCAGCCAGCATAGGCAGGGAGCACAGGAAGTTATCCGCTCACCAGATTTCCAGCAAGATCAACAGGTATTTTTATTTCACTCATCAAATAGAAACTACAAGAGGATTTTATTGTTATATTTAACAATTAGTATATTTATTGTTGAGGTTTATAAACACTTTGGAGTCATTAATGTAGAGCTCAATTTCATATGTATACTGTGAAAGTCCTGTATGTTAGGTGAGGTATGTCATACAGCAGAGGTGCTATGCACACCGCTTGTACACACATTTAGTGCTATTTAGGTTTATTTTTCATTCTGTATAATATATCACTATGTGGTGCTAAGTAATCATTTGTGGTCATCAGCTGTTCAGCTCCCTATATACTTCCTGTGGACATAAGATTGTGGGTGGTGAGAGGAGGAGCTACATAAATTGTTCAGGTGATGTGCTTCATCTACAACTGATTCAGCTTGCTGGTTGAGAATCTGAAACGGCAGAATAACTGAGAAAACAAACACCGAAAAAAACATCCAGATCAACTATATACATCACAGGAATGTTCAAGTGTATGTATAGCCAGAGCTTGGAGTACCATTGATGACATTTCCCTTCACTTCCTATCCCAGAGACACAACAGGACGTTAAGTGAGGGGAATTCCCCTCTTAGACATTTGCAAAACAGAAAAAATGGTCACCAGCCCTCCAAGTTTTCCTCAAAACGAAATCCTTTTATTCATTCTAGCAGGTCGTATCACCATGCGTGCCACACATAATGATATGACCTGCTAGAACAGGGGTGCCCATTAGGTAGATCGCGATCTACCAGTAGCTCTCAAAACTGATGCTGGTAGATCACGAAAGGGTGTGAATGGTGGTCCCTTTATTCCATTTTGGTATATTTACCAGGAGAGAGAGGGGGGAGAGACAGACAGGAGAGAGAGGAAAGACGGCGAGAGGAGAGACAGACAGGAGAGAGAGGAAAGACGGCCGGGGAGAGAGAGCGAGGAGAGACAGACAGGGGAGAGAGCAAGGTGAGACAGCCAGGGGAGAGAGCAAGGTGAGACAGCCAGGGGAGAGAGCAAGGTGAGACAGCCAGGGGAGAGAGCAAGGTGAGACAGCCAAGAGAGCAAAGAGAGACAGTCAGGAGAAAAAAACGAGGAATGAAAGCCAGGAGAGAGAGAGAGCGAGCGAGGAAAGACAGCCAGGAGAGAGAGGAGAGACAGCCAGGAGGATGAAATGGAGAGACTGCCAGAAGAGAGAGCAAGGAGAGAGAGGAGAGACATCAAGGAGAGAGAGAGAGCGAGGGGAGTTTTTTTTTTCCGTTGGTAGATCTCATGTAGCTCGTCATTTGAAAAGTAGATCTTAACACAAAAATTGTGGCCACCCCTGTGCTAGAATGAGTAAAAGGATTTCATGTCGAAGAAAACTTGGGAGAGCTGGTGACCATTTTTTCTGTTTTGCAAGTATTTGGCGGCACCGTCTGCGGCCACTTCAGTACACACATATACACACACACTATATGGGGCTTCTCGGTCAGGGTTGCAGTGGGACTCTCAATTTGACTGAACCTCTCAGACATTTGTCCCTGGAACGAGTGTCTAGTTGTTTCTTTGGAGCAGGATTATACATAGGGCTCTATAGGCAGCTTGTGTTGTTCAGAAAAGCTTGCGGGGACAGATTTAAAGTGATATTGAGTCACCATTGTGTGTGCTAGAAAGCTGCGTGTCTCTCCAAGCACACATTCCATAATAGAAGTCACCAGCGCTCGATGATGTGTGCAAGAAGTAAAGCACTTTTTATTAAATTGTCACATGTGTCATACAGCCCTGTATGCGCAGAAGACGTGTATCCAAACCTGTTTTTAACCTTAGTGGTGAGACAAGTTTTTTTTTACATGCTGGCTTGTGAGTGTGCCAGGAAAACCTTTTGCTGTTATACAGCCCTGTATGACTCATGTGACAGCTTAAAGGAGAACTATGGGGTCAGTGTTTTTCCCCATAGTTCTCCTTAGGGTAACGGGAGGACACAAACTAGCGTCCTCCCGTTATCCTAAGCTCAGTATAGCTGTAGCTCGCGGTATACTGAGACGCCGCAGCTGGAGCGGATCCCGACGTAGATGACGGGATCCGCCCAGCTGCATGAGTGACAGCTGGCTCTGCCTATCTAGAGGCAGAGCCAGCTGTACCCGCCCCCTCCCCCGTCCGATCCGCCAGTCAGCGCTGGCAGATCGGAGCAGGGAGAGGGGAATCCAGCCCCTCCCCCCTGTCACGGCAGAGAGCCGTGACAGGATCGAGAGGCGAGCGAACCCGGTATGTGTTCCCTCACCTCCCGATCTACTGAGCCGACCTGTGACAGTTTCATTGTCACAGGTCGGCTTAACACTGTAAGTTAGCTGAAATGTGTAAGGACGAGCTCCTGCCTCATGCGATAAGCTTCTGTCTCTACCGTCTCTATATTGTTACAGTCCTCTTCGGCCTCCAGAACAGTGCACCCAACCTCACACCAGATGTCCAGGCCATGCTGTAGAGCGATGTTGTGTAATATGCAACAGGCCAAGACAATCTGAGAGGATTTTTCAGGAGAATACTGCAATGTAGCCCTGGAGCCATCCAGACAACGGAAGCGGTGGCGAAGAGCTCGCTGGGTGCGCTCCATGACGCTGTGAGTGGCGGTATGGGCCATGTTGTAACGGTATTCTTGGGGGCTCTCAGGTATCTGCACTGGGGTCATCAGCCAAGGCCGGAGAAGAAATGCGCTGTCCGCTGTTAAAAAAAAAAAAGAAAAGCAGTACATGAACAATAATACATAATACTTTTATTGGCGGAGTATTTCAAGTAGAATTAAAAGAGAACAATGGAGGTAAGTGTTTTTCCCCCATAGTTCTCTTAAGGGTCACAGGAGGACATATACTAGCGTCCTCCCGTGACCCAAAGCTCTGTATATCGCGAGCTACAGCTCGCAGTATACTGAGACCGCCACAGACGGGACGGATCCCGACAATGCTGTCGAGATCCACCCAGCTGCGTGAGTGACAGCTGGCTCTGCCTATCTGGCTGTTCCTGTAGTCAGCGCTGGAGGATCGGAGCGGGGGGGAATTTCTGCGGGGAGTGGTGACTGATAGTCATCGCTCTTTGCAGGGAGATGATCGGAAAGTGAGCGAGCGACTATGTGTTCGCTCACTTCCCGATCAATAGAGCCGACGTGTGACAGCTTCTTTGTCACAGGTCGGCTCTAACTATGAGGATGAGTGGAAATCACTCCCCTCATTGTTCTCCTTTAAGCCCTCCCTCCTGCTTAGTTCTAATTCCTTCCCTCTGTTATTTAGCTCTCAGATGCTAGAGTTTTTTTGAGCAACCAAAGCTTTAACATTTGACAAAATAGAAAGAGATGCCATTGTTGACTGGGTTTTTGAAAGTGCAAGCTCCGGAGTCAACCTAAGACTAGAGCCTGTACTTGCCAGCATATGGCACAGTCTGCAACAGATTAAGAGTTTTACTCTTAATCTGGGGAGGGGGCGGGTACAGCTGGCTCTGCCAGAGCCAGCTGTCAGTCAGGCAGCTGCGTGGATCCAGACAGTATTGTCGGGATTTGTCCCGGCTGCGCGATCTCAGTACATAGTGGGCAATAGCCCAAAAGCTGGGTGGATCTTGACAGCATTGTCGGGATCCGTCCCGGCCGCAGCAGTCTCAGTATACCACGAGCAGTAGCTCGCAATATACTGAGCTTCGGGTCATGGGAGGTGGTTAGTATATGTCCTCCTGTGACCCTAAAGAGAACTATGGGATAAAACCACTTACCCCATAGTTCTCTTTTAAACATATGATAGCAGAAGTCATGGGCCCCATATACAGCCTGGACCAAGAAGGGCATCACAGGGACACAGAGATGGCTTTGAATATGTACAGTACATGGATACCTGTAGTTATGCCCTGAAGAGTAACAGTGCTAAGATCCCAAAACCGAACACTAATACTCCCTCAACAGATCATGTTTAGCATTGGACTGGGAACAAGATTCCACCAGCATACCAAAATGCATGTCCAAGCAAAGTCCTTTACTGACACAGATTGTCATAAAGATGGCGACATTTCGGGCCACGCAGGGTCCCGTCATCATCACTTCATACTGAGCCTGATGAAGAAGCCCTGTGTGGCCCCAAAATGTCGCCATCTTTATGACAATATGCGTCAATAAAGGACGTTTGTTTGGACATACATTTTGGTGTGCTGGTGGCATCTTGTTCGTAGATTGACTGGAGCGGTGCCATCCGCAGTCATTTCAGCACCCATTGTACATCGGGGTCCTAACTAGTCCAACGACCATCGGACTGGGGCACACATGGATAAAACACCAATTTATTTTGCCACTTAGGTAACAACTACTGATATATCAAGGCACACAGGTAGGTAATATTCGCTTCTTGGGTCACTAACACCCATATATGAAAATATTTGGTTCTCCTATATCCTTTGAACTTGACTCACCCAGCATCCAGCCCTCCTTGTGCATTTTTGTCTCAAACAAACACGAGAGCTCAGACTGATGAAGGACAATGTTGTCCGGCGTGCTGCCTGGCCGTTGGGTTTCAGTCCACAGGAGAACCCCTTGAGCATCACAGACTAGAAGACAGTTCAAAGAATGCAGGCCCCTCCTGTTCACATAAGACAAGTCCTCTGCATTAGGGGCTTTGATAGTTACGTGCATACAGTCCACAGCTCCCAGGACCCCGGGGACCCCAGCCAGGTTATAGAAGTCATCCTTTAGTTTCTGCACTGACGCTTCCTCAGGAGGAAAACTTATGAACTGCGAGGCTCTCTCCACTAAAGCTTCAGTTACGTTGGTGACACAACGACTCATGGAGGCTTGGCTGATCCCTATAGTGTCTCCCATGCGTGTCTGAAATGACCCCGATGTGTAGAACCCGAGAGCAGCCATAATCTGGGTCTCTGGGCTGATCGCTCTAGAGCGCTGCGTGGGTCTGGACAGGCTTCCGCCCAGCAGCTCAAGCAGGTAGTCTATGAAAGGCCGCGGGAAACCATACGTGGAAAGCAGGTATTCATCCGTAACATCCTCCAGTCGAAACCGGTCAAGCGTGCGGTGTCCCCGACCATACAGCAGAAGGTCACAGTCCAGGATGGTAATGGGAATTGCCATGTGTACAACGACGAATGGACCATCAGAGCTAAAATGAAATCCTCAAAGTAGTCTGACACATCACATCAGGGACTGCTGAAACACAGAAGACAGAAGAAGAGTATATGTAAATATATATACTAAATAGGGATGCACAGATACCGATACCAGTATCGGTATTGGTGCCGATACTGAGTATTTGGGTGAGTACTCGTACTCGCCAAAATGCTCCGATACCTAGCACGAGTACTTCCTGTATCAGGAAGCCGGGCAGCGCATCATTACACGCTGCACGGTTTCCTGATTGGCCAGGAAACGGCTCCATGCTCTCTCGTCACTTGTGATAAGAGAGCATGGAGCCGACTTCCTGGCCAATCAGGAAGCCTGGTAGCGTGCAATGACGCGTTGCCCGGCTTCCCGATTGGTCAGGAAGCTAGCAAATCCGGAAGCCGGGCACCGTGTAATGACGCAGCGCCCGGCATTCTGATTGGCCGGGAAGCCGGCGTCATGCTCCCTCGTCATCTCATGAATCATAATATTAAGAAAGTGACCTTAAAGCATTAGTTTGTATTACTTTAGTAAAAATGTGACCTGTCCCTTTAAGAAAAAGTATCGGTCATTGGTATCTGTGAGTACTTGATCAAAAGTATCGGTACTCGTACTCGGTCTTAAAAAAGTGGTATCGGTGCATCCCTAATACTAAATAAATATTACTAAAATGTAATGTAGTTTTGTTGTAGGGTATCTATGGTCAAAAACTACAAATAAATCTGTATTTCTATATTGAATTTCCATAAGTTCTATCCCTCTCCTAATAATAACCAGATCCATCCAGAAGTTTCTAAACTTATTCAAAATGCCCAAAGGATGTACTTCCTCAATGCAGTGACACTGTTTCACTCGGCTCTGTAAATATGCACTTCCTTGCGTCTCCACTCTCACAGAGCTTCCCGTCTGAACTACAACTCAACGTCTGAACAATGTAACATCACCCTTGCTTGCTGGAAGCAATGCATGATGGCACATGTAGTCTTGAGAAATGGAGATTGCATCACATCAAGCAGCAGGAAAGAGAAACAAAGCACACTGGGAATACAGGAAGTTGTGGGAAGTGGAAGGCAGCACTCACTACATAAAAGGGATTTATACAAGTAAGCTTTGATTGTATTATCAGAAACATCTCTAGTCTGTATTCCTATTACAATGCTGATAACGAGAGGATGTGCTGGGACTTTAGAACAACCCCATTTAGGTATACTACATACATTGCACGTAGGGATGCAACGTTACTAGTATCAGTATTGATGCCGTGTATTTGGGCGAGTACCCGTACTCGCCCAAATGATCCGATGCCTAGCCCGATACGTCCGGTATCAGGAAGCCGGGTAGTGAGTCATTACACGCTGCCCGGCTTCCTGATTGGTCGGGAAGCTGGCCAATCAGGAAGCCAGGCGCCGTGCAATGACGCTTTCTGATTGGCCGGGAAGACAATTTCATGCTCCCTCGTCACCTCATGACGAGGGAGCTTGGTGCCGGCTTCCCGGCCAATCAGGAAGCTGTGTCAGTCACAGTTTTGCACCGACTTGGGCAAACTGAGTTTACAGCATGCCCCCAAACGTGGGTATCCCTAGAGTTTTCTCTACCTGATTCAAATAGGGCGGTGGCGGTTTGGTAGTGGTGCATGGTATGGGGGGATGGTGCTTGGAAGTAGGGGGGAGGTCTGGTGATGCTGGGCGGCTGTGTGCGGGGTGCTGAAGGTTACCTTTCTCCAGTATACTGCCCAGCTCCTGGCAACCAATGATGTGCCAGTGAGCTGGATTGGACACCAGTCAGAGCGTCACAAGTAGCTAAGCTCCTATCAACCTGGGACTCTCTGGCCACAAAGTGGGGGGCAAGACACACCAGCGTTTCCCTCCACACGACCCAAAGAGATGCCACCTTATTATAGGGACAGCCCTGCCCCCAGTCATCACTGGTTACCAGTTAGCGTTGTTTACTTTCTGTGAACTACAGAACTTTCCCATGCTATGGAGATGATGATGGGTGGGATGTTCTGTAGTGGTCACACACAACTGTCCCAGGGTGACAACGCTGCTCCTTCATAGATATAGTGCATTGAAGAAGCGTTGTCACCCTAGGACAGGAAGTGTTTTACAGGCAGGATCACTAAGTGAAATAAATGGAACAAAAAGGTCTGAGAACAAAACAAATGCAGCCGCCCCCATCTAAGGACCAGGAAGCTGCAATATATGACATGCCAAGAGTATGCATGCCTACAATAAAGAATTCTAAGCAACAATGAAAGTATAGTAAACTTTCTACATGCTGATAAGCAGGGACCACAGGCCTGGGACTGTCTTGAAGAAGAGGAATACCCCGGATGATATGAATAACATACATTACAGGAGAACATATCTACTCACATTGTTCCTACACAGACAGCCTGGGGGCGGGGTCTGTCACCTCACGCTCTGTCTGCCGATTCACAGACGCAGATTCTGCCTCCTTTCCACTAAATTCCGCCAAGAAATAATCTTTGCCGTAAATAAATAGAATAACAATACAATATTCTATCCATAGCCATGACCCAGAAGCTGTTGGGGTGGCGTTTGAATTTTTTTCCTGTGTGGATTGTGCGAGCGAGAACCGTCTGCCGGCTTTACGTGTCTACAGACCGCAAAACACAAACAGTAATGGCGTCGCCGAGGGCTGTGCGGGGTATGTGATGCTTCGGAACTGAGCAGCGTCGGGGCCTGCAGGTGACATCTACTGAGGGACAAAGGACTGGAGCAGCTCAGGCTGTGTGAGTGACCTGGTCCCAGGCTGTCCCTCCAATACCATAGAGAGGAGCAGGAGCGGCTCTGGAATGAGAAGAGGTGAGCTGTGACGGTCATTGGCCTCTGTCTGCAGAGTGTGGGGGAGCTGTCCAGCTGCTGGGGGGTTATTGGTGAAACGGGTGCAGGTAAAAACCTCGAATGGACGTGGAAGCTGAACTCTGGGCACACAAACTTTCACCTCAATAGCCACGCATGATATGAATACACTTTGTGTGCACCAGTTGCCTTAGAAACCCCAGATATTGTCTTGTAAAAGTACCAATGACATCATTACTGTGCGGCACATAGCACGTAGAGAGACCAGAGCTGTGGGAGGGACCCAGCAGGCCACACCCACTACAGGCTGCCTGCAGAAAACTACAAGAGGGGGTGGAGACCAGACCAGTCACCCTGCACAAGGAGAGAGCAGCAGCAACTGGTCTTTATTACAGGAGGGGGGCAGAGATAAGACCAGTCACCATGGACAAGCAGAGAGAGCAGCAGTGAGCGGTCTCTATTACAGGGAAACATTTCACACTGGATTACTGCACTGATCTGGAAGAAATAGACAAAGTACACTAAGATTCCAGGACGAATACACATGACTTGTATTTAGACAACATTTGCTGATCCTGGACTTTAGCTTTAAAGGGAAACTTCCACCAATTTCTCTGAAAATCAGTACTGATTGCTCAGTGTTTGTGCTCTGCTCTCCATTCTGACTGCTCCGCCCCCTCCCGCCTGTCACCGGAGCTGAGCTCTCCTCCTCGCACTGCCCCGCTTGGCCTCTGGACAGCTTCTCTCCTCCCAGCTGGGAGCCGGCAGCTGGATCAGCTCTATGTCCCCTCCAGTCCCCGCTGCCTCTGCAGACACAGGTGGGGGAGAGCAGCAGGGATCGGAGGGGACACAGACCGAAGCTTGTAGCCGGCGCCCAGCGGGGAGGAGAGAAGCTGTCAGGAGGCCGAGCGGGGCAGTGCGAGGAGGAGAGCTCAGCTCCGGTGACAGGCGGGAGGGGGCGGAGCAGTCAGAAGCTGGAGATGTGCCCCATTTACATCCATTTTTTTCTTTGTACTTCATGACGGGTATTGCCGCAACCAAATATAAGCGCTCCCTTACCATCCACTTGCTCTCTGCCGCCAAAGCGTGTATCCCTTTGCTATGGAGGCAACCTGACCCCCCAACTCTGCGTCTCTGGTTCGGAAAAATTAATGAAGTATATCGTATGGAGGATCTCACAGCATCTATCCATAACACTGAGGTACAGGTTTGGCGCGACATGGGGTGCCTGGCTCCACTTCCGATACTCAGACACTTACCAGAGGGCCATGACAGAGCAAGCTCCTGGTAGCTCAACTAGTTCATAGGGAGAGAGAGCGGAGACCTGCCCTTACTCTCACTTCTGCCCCTATCCATGTGCCTATGCCCCTCTTTTTCTTTTTCTTTCTCTTCTCCACTCCTGGAGAAAAGCTGTCTACACCTCCTTTTATCCAAGGCCACCGAGCTGTGTACTCATGACGGTTCTAGCATGGATGTCTCCATCCATATTGTGGTAAAGGGCCCGAAAACGCACTCCTACACCACAAAGCTGTACAATGTTGTCTATATATTTCAGGGACTAGACTAAGTGGTTGATACTTTGGAGGTCATGTTCGTGTACGGTGCAATTAATGTATGACACCTGTTTTGGGCTCCATGCTATGATACCTGCTTCTGTTGAGTGTACTGCATTACTTTTGTCCAATTAATGTATTTCATCCTGCGTGATGACAAGCATGTGCTTTCCCAATGTATTCTGATGATACGAGTAAGGCGGATGCCTTATTTCCTTTTTTCAGTGGAATGTATGTTAAGATTGGTGTACAATAAAGAATTTAAAAAAAAAAAATACTTTAAGTCACTGGCCCGGAGCCTATATAAATATAGCAAAGCTGGACAAATCCCGGGAGCCAGGTAGCCATTGGCTCAAAATTACAGCTGGTGCCTAACTTTTGAGGTTTCCTCTCATTGTTGTCAATGGACCGGACTCCCTTAAAAATCTTGCAGGCTCCTGGATTGGCCAGACCGGCTCCTGAATTCCAGAATAGTTTGCCCACCCCTTGGCATATAGGGAGTTTTCTCCAATTTTCCTCATATTCATACTTGTTCTGGGTCTGTGGAGGGAGAGAAGCAGCACAACAGCCAGGCAACTAACATTTCACAATAAAGTCCACAATGACGGGGCTCCATATTCCTCACAGAACTGGTTTACCTTACGCCTTGTTCACACCAAATGCAGACCAGATCCGGTCAGGTTTCTGCACACGCAGTGCAGTGGGTTGTGCTGCGTTTTTGCGTTTTAGATGCGTTTTTGATGCATTCCAGACCAGATCCAGAGCAGGTAAAATAGGGCTTGCCGCAGTTTTTTCATCCGGTCTGGATCCGCACGCTGCGATGTGAACTGGAGGTCAAAATACCATAGGAATACATTGGACGCAGTTTTGATCCGGTCTGCACCTGCTCTGGTCCGGATCTGCTCCGCGCTTGGTGTGAACAAGGCCTTAAAGGGGTTCTAAAGCCTCCCGTTTTTTTTTGCCTATATCTACTGCTGACAAGCAGTAGATATAGGCAAAAAGTTTTTAAAAAAACAAAAAGCTTAAACAGCGGTTTAGACTGACCTCATTATCGCTGCGCGCTCCCGCAGCGAGAGTCCGGAACTGTTCGTGCGGCCGCAAAGGATCTTGGGGCAGTTTGGATTCTCGGCCGGGAGACGAGCGGAGACGCAAGGTAAGTCTATGGACTCGTGCACCCGCATGCAGACACCGCTGGATCGGACGTGCCTGTAAGCAGAGAGGAGTCGGCTCTGGATCGGAGACCCGCAGTAGCGCTGGAGTGACAGATGAAAACATCAGGAAAGAAGAAGATCGGATTAGGAGACATCATTTAAGGTAAGTGCTGACATTAACATGGGGGGGAGGGAACTTTTTTTATCCTTTAATGTCACTTTAAAGGAAGCCTATAGTGAGAGAAATATGTGAGCTTCCACTGCTGACCTCTCCTTGCAAAATGCAAAACGCCTTCTTGTCATACTGAGGTGGTGGCTTCAATACTTTAGTCTCTGGCCTGGAAAAAGTATGTAGATCAGGAGGTTTGTTTAGGGGCGCTGTTCACATCTGAGCGTAGAGCTCATCGCACATTTCCATGCATGCACTACTTATTTTCACCGCAAAGCATGGTATTGCAGAATGATGTATTGCAATGCACAGCAGCCAGGAGGTGCATGGGGTGCCATTCAAATGATTTGCAATGCACCTAGAATATGGTAACGCATGCTAAGTACAAGCTAGTGTGCAATAGCATCTGTTAATTGCATGGATATTTTTTATCCGATTAATCGAACTTAATAATCGGCTAACTAATCGATTTTGAAAATAATCGTTAGCTGCAGCTCTAGAATCATGACATTCTGCTACGATCAGATGTAAACAGCGAATCTAAACCCAAGATCAAAAATGTAACATATTGCAGTTTTTACCAGTCCTTAGGCTTCGTTCACACCATCCTCAGTGCGTTCTGCCCCGATCGTGGCCGGAACGTACTGGATCGCATTGCGGCCGATCGAGGGGGCGTGGCGGTGCATTGAAGTGAATGGCACTGCAGCCACAGCCTTTGGCCGCACGGGAACGCAAGGCACATCAATGCCTGCGGTCCGGTCCGTTCAGAAAAAATGCTGCAAGCACTATTTTTTCTGACTGGACAGCAGGCATTGATGTGCCTTGCGTTCCCATGAGGCCGATCGCATTGCAGCCGGAGGGCGTGCCTGCGGTGCCATTCACTTCAGTGCACCGCCACACCCACTCCCGCACCACAACAAACTAAGTCACCCACAATGCTATCCAGTCCGTTCCGGCCACAATCGGGCCGGGACGCACTGAGGATGGTGTGAACGAGGCCTTGGACATGGTGTCTGCATTTTGTTTTCTTTTTCCAAATTTTGTTTAACCTGGTGATCCTGCCAGTAACACAATTCCTGTCCTAAGGTGACCACTGTAGTTGACCTAAGGCTGGGCACACACCTTACAACCATCGCAAGACTTTTGGACCGGCAGATCGTACTTGCGATGATCGCAAGCCACGCCCCCTGAGGGGCAGGCTTCCGATGACCGCAATGCCGAACTGGCAGTGTGCGCTTGCGCACGCCGGCCTGTCCGGCTTTTATCTTACGAACATGCTACACACTCGCCAAACATCGTACGATGCTCGGCGGGTTTTGGAACATGTTCGTAAGTTTAAAGTCGTGCGACCTTACAGTAGTAGAGGTCGCACAGCTTCCACACACCTTACGATAATCGTACGATCACGGGATTTCCCACGATTATCGTACGATTATCGTAAGGTGTGTGGGCACCCTAAGACAGGATTACAGAACACCTCCCCTTCTTCTCTCCTGTGCCATAACATAGGGAGGAGGATGTCCTGAAGTCTACAGTACAGAACAGTTCTGACTAATAAGAGTGCAACACAGGCAGAGAGCACAGAAAGTTATGAGCTCATTGGATTTCTGGCAGGATCAATAGGTATTTGTTTGCACTTATTAAATAGATCCAACAAAAGGCTTTCAATGGTATGTTTAGCATACCGAAAATAAGAGAAGTTCACCGTTTACATAAACTTTACCCTAACCCTAAGCTTTGACTTCCCTTGCTGTCTACATGCTGTCGATCACTGACTTAAACCGTACTGCCAGAGAGAGCGAGGCACTACTATTTATAAAAGGAGCTCAGCAATGTCATGCCAAGTATTTCTTCTAGTACAGTTTTCCTTTAATTCTCGTCATTATTATTGGCATCCCTGGCACATTCTTCCCAGCTTGTGTACTTTACCATTAGACGTGCTCAGTGAGGGAACACGGTGTTCCGTGTGACGAAGTATGCCAGGTCTCTGAGCCTTTCGTGTTCCTTCATGTTCTCTCTGCATGTCTTCAGTGTCTTAGGAGGTAGAAGCGCAGAGATTAATAAGGATTAATTAATTACTCCAGCACCCTCGGGGGAGTCCTCTCTGAGCTTATCATCAAATATGTAACTGAATATTTAGATTCCGCAGTGCCCGGGGGGGATGTTTTGCAAAACTGCTGAGCATGGCAAGGTTGGCTTCAAAAAGCTGAGCCTGGCATCAGTCGGCCCCATAGGAAGGATGGCAGGACATGTGCATGTAAGCTGTTGTCCCAGTGTGAGGTGCCCTAGTTAGCGCTTCTCCCTAAATATCACCTTCGGGCCATGTGTAGTGTTAATTAGCGGCCACAGAGCCTCTGTCATGATTTTAATTTATTATAATATACACGAATGTGCTGAGGTGGTCTTGGATGAGTTTCCTCAAATGAACGCAAAAGGATGATGGGAGATGTGAGGGCTGCCGATGCAGATTTGTTTTTAAAGGGGCATGCACGGGGGTATAATCCTGATCCTGGCTGTACGGTTTAGTGCTTCACTGCCCTGGAACAAGTACAGTTTTGGAATGTCTACTTTATTATTATTATTATACAGGATTTATATAGCGCCAACAGTTTGCGCAGCGCTTTACAATATAAGGAAGACATTACAATTCAAGACATGGTAAGGAGGGCCCTGAGATCTTACAATCTAGAAGAGAGGGGCAAGTGATACAAGAGGAGGTAGCTGTGTGGGAATGAATTGTTTGAGAATGTGATGGTTGAGCGTTTAGGTTGAGGTGGGATAGGCTTCCCTAAAGAGTTAATAGCCATATACTTGTTCTGGGTCAATCTTGCCAAGTAATTAGGATGCATTAAGTGGGTGGGTTGGAGTTGAACAATGAGGGCAGCCCCCCCCCCTAGCATATATATACACCACAGTGCTGTACAGAGAACACTGAGCCAGTCACATCAGTCTCTGTAAAGAGGAGCTTACACTAATGTCCCCCCCAGTCACGGGACCCGCTAGAAGCAGGGCTTAGTGACCCACCTGAGATCCCACACATACCCGAGAGTGATCCTGCAGAGCCCACCATAGATGCTGCACAGCCAATCTGATACTCCCAATGGTGGGCTCTGCAGGGGTTTCAGGTGGGCTGGACAGGGCTGCATCTCCCTCCCTCCTTCCCAGCTCCTCTTACCTGCTCACCTGGCCTCCTCTACTGCTGGACTGGCTGGAAGTGATGTGATGTCATTTCCGGCGGTCAGATCAAATGAAAAGCTGCGCCGATGGGGCCCCAGCCTGCTCCTATGCCTGTAAAGGTAATGCTGGGGCCTGGCGCTGCTACGGCCAGCCACCTCCTGCGCTGCGGGGGCATGGCCGCCTCCTCGCTCATCACCGGCGGCCTATACTCATGTAAGGGTCCCGGGCGGGCCCCTAAGGCTGTCTGGGCCCCTTACATGAGTATCGGCGGTACCCCCTCTGACGGCAGCCCTGTGAACAATCATATTGTGTCTGCGTATTGAACCCTACATTGGGGGTTCAGATGAATGTTCCATAAGGGAACAAGGGTCCAAGGCTGCTCTTCTCTTGGAGAAACTAATCCAATGTAGTTAGTGGTCTAGAAAAGTAGAATCAATGCAGTGGGGAAGATGCACCTAAAATAATGAATTCTACAACTTGATGGTGATCCAATATGATCCAATCTTTTATTGATATAACTAGAAAAACGACATCCAGCACATTTCAGAGGTTACAAACCCCCGTTCTTCAGGGATTAAAGTGATTATTAAAGTCAAAAGGTTTTTAAGCCATTTCAAATGCAGATGACATCACTTATGGACGCTGCTTCTTGATGTTTACAAGTTTTTAGCTTCCTGAAGAATCAGCTAGTCCCCTGAGCACTTACCCCGATATCCTGTTATAGCGTGGCTCCTTTCCCTTGCAGGGTCCTATGAAGCCACCCTTGTGTGTGCTAGTAAGCTGTGTGTGTTTTCACAAACACACAGACACTGGAAGACAAGACACTCCCCTGCTCCCTTTCTCCCTTTTCCAAGCCAGTAGATAGACAGCTCCTCCATACTGTGCTCTTCCTTGCGATCTTCTACTATAGACAGGAAGTTCAGGGAAGCCGAGCTGAGGGAGTTGGAGCTGTTCAGTAACCTGATAACTGCAAGCGCTTGGGTGAAGATATAAAGAAATACTTTGCTGGGCAATGTAGTTTTGTTTGATCTGAATTTATTCCAAAAGAAAAGTCTTAAGAGTATAATACTACTGTAAAGTAAACACTAACAAGGAACTTGTATGCCTCCTTTTTTTTCAGCTGTAATGACCCATTGACAACATAGTTTTGCACTAATGACACAGTACCAAAAAATACCTTGCGTGATGGTGGAGAAAAGTCATGCATGCATTACCGTGTGTTGCACTAGGCAGTGCATTGGGGTGCCATTCAGAATGAAGGGCAACGCACCAGGGCACCTACCATGTTCAATATGCCAATTGGACAATAAAAAGAGTAGCAGCATAAAAAAAGTAATTTCTCTGCTCTCCTGTAAGCACACTCAGTGTTAAACTGACAGCACTGTGCAATGAATGGCACCTGATTGCCGGCCTGTTTAGTTGCTTCTTTCCTGTGTTCCACTGTAAAAAGTATTACAGGAAGCTAATGTAAGAACAGATGTCAGGTACTTATACTACTATAAATTAAAGGAGAACTATGAGGTGAGTGCTTTTCACTCACCTCATAGTTCTAGCCGACCTGTGACAATGAGACTGTCACAGGTCGGCTCAGTAGATCGGGAAGTGAGCGAACACATACCGGCGTTCACTCACCTCTCGATCCTGTCACGGCTCTTTGCCGTGACAGGGGAGGGGCTGGATTCCCCCCTCCCCGATCCGCCAGCGCTGACTGGCGGAACGGACGGGGGAGGGTACAGCTGGCTCTGCCTCTAGATAGGCAGAGCCAGCTGTCAATCACGCAGCTGGGCGGATCCCGGCACAATTGTCGGGATCCGCTTCAGCTGCGGCGTCTCAGTATACCGCGAGATACAGCGCGCGGTATACTGAGCCTAGGGTGACGGGAGGACGCTAGTTTGTGTCCTCCCGTTACCCTAAGGAGAACTATGGGGAAAAGCCTTAACCCCATAGTTCTCTTAACTTTTAATGGATAAATCTGAATGAAAGAGTGTTTGTTTTTTGTTTTTATTTGTATTTGTCCTGAGTTTAGCTTTACAATTGAGTCCTGACTCCCTTCGCAGCTGAACATATCCTTGGAGAGCCTGTTACACTTTTCAAATTCTCTATGATGAAACGCAACATGAGAGCTGTGCATTGAGGCCGAGATGTAACATCATTAAGCCTTAAAATTGAGGTTTATTCCCAGAATAATCAATTGTTACTGATTCCAGCTATTAATACTTGTAGTGTATGCCAGGGAAAGGATATCCCTGATTTGGTAATATTGGTTCGGGTTTCCTTCCTCTTATGCACCAACCTTAGATTTGTGTTCTATGAGCTTTTTCACGCATCAATAATTGTCTCCCTGTTGTCCGGCTAACTGTGTCTTCTCATGTTCAGTCCTACAGACACGATGGACTCAAACCTCAGCCCACAGGACCGGAAGGACTTAGACAAGTTTGTCAAATTCTTTGCTTTAAAGGTAAATGTAAAATAACCTGCAACATGTGTATTCTTTGAGTTGTGATTTTCATGTTTTAGGATTAAAGGATGGGTTAAAGTGGTACAAAAAGGTGCACTAATCCTTTTTGCCCCTGTGTCCTAAGCTAACGAATCTCAACCCCCCTCCCCCCCCCCCTCACATTTGCATTCTTATCGAGATCTGATGACCACAGCCTCTGTTTATTTTCATCCAGCGCCGCAAGTCCTTTCTTTCTTGACAGCACCTGCACGTTACAGCCACATATACTTCTATGAAGCTGTCTCTTGAGCATGGAGGTGAAGGTAAACCCACCCTATAGCGTGCCTATGGGGCATCAATGCACAGGTGCGACCAGAAGAGCAAGGACATGCAACGCTGGATGTAAACAATCCCCAGAGGCCACGGCCATCGAATGTCGGTAAGTAAGCATCTGTGGAGGGGAAGGGTGGGATTGGTTAGCTCATGGCATAAGGCCAAATAGGATATGTTGGTAAAGCATGTGGCACCTGCATGTTACAGCCCTGTAGACTTCTATGAAGCCGTCTCTCAAGCCTGGAGGTGAAGGTAAACTAGCCCCATAGCCTGCCTATGGGGCACCAATGCACAAGTGAGACCAGAAGAGAGGGGTTGCGGCACTGGGTGTAAACAACCCCCAGAGGCCAAGGCAATCGGATCTTGGTCAGTAGGCATCTGTGGAAGGGGAAGGTGGGATAGGTTAGCTCATGGCATAGGGGCAAATAGGATATGTTGGTCAAATATGTGGCACCTGCATGTTACAGCCCTGTAGACTTCTATGAAGCGGTCTCTCAAGACTGGAGGTGAAGGTAAACCAGCTCCATAGCCAGCCTGTGGGGCATCCATACACAAGTGAGGCCAGAAGAGAGAGGGGTTGCGGCGCCAGATGTTCCGAGTCCCCAGAGGACAAGGCCATTGGATCTTGGTCAGTAGGTATATGTGGAGGGGGAGCATGGGATAAGTTAGCTCATGGCATAGGGACAAATAAAATATGTTGGTCAAACGTGTGAGATTTTCAGTCCATTTCCACAATTTTTGAGCCACTGGAATTTGACAATGCCATTGCTAATAATCACTAGAAACTAAGCAGTCAGTTGTGAAGCTGAAACTGGGCAATTTATTGACGGCTTCAATGCAGTTTTTTGAAAGCGCAAATTGAAATGGATAGGACTCTAGGAAAAAAAAACCTAGTAATTTACCGGTAGTTGATGGTGATCAGATTTTACCTTTGCATTCAATCAGTGCAATTTCAATCCGGTCTCCATGGTGGTTGGTGAAAACTGCTATTGATATATGAAATTACCACATGTGTACCCATCAAATTAGGTTGGTTGCCTTGACCTGCTCTTTTGTATTCACCTTGGAAATTTCCATGTGTGGTCAGTACAAGGCTAGCCATGGACATGCGATGGTGATGGAAAATTCTATCTTACTATAAAAGCTTTTAATAACTATTCCTGATTGTGCGTTTCTGCTGTGACTGGACATGCCTGGCAGCAGTCTAATCTCATAGAAAGTGGTGGTTGTGTAGGAACCACGGTGTACATATGCACAAGGTTCCTCAATATGTTTCCTTTGCCTGTACCATACATTGCTCATCCCTTGTCTATGAGCAACCTAACACTAATTGCACTTTGGTATAAATAAAAGGCTGCTTTGCCCATTTCCAAGTGGAATTCATTGTGGGTGGGAGTAGTTGTGTAGTCTGCCCTGAACTGATGTTTGATGTGTACTAGCTCAGAGGGGGAAATTATGAACTTAAAAAAAACCTCCTGCACAGTAATGTCACACACAGTTTTATTCCGGAGCTTATGACTCATTTATAACTTTTTTCATTCCACAGGCTGTCCAGGTGATTGTACAAGCACGACTGGGGGACAAGATATGTACCCGCTCTTCGTCCTCTCCAACAGGCTCAGACTGGGTAAGTCCTTTTCAAATACTGGAGAAAAGGGTGTGTGTGTGTGTGTGTGTGTGTGTGTGTATATATGTATATAGTGAGATTTAGCTTTCAATAGTAGCACATTAATGACGGAGTCCACTCGCTTACTGCTGGCACTTTTTTCTTTCCTCTGACACTCTGGGTTGTGAGGCGGGCCTGTGGGAATGCTGAGTAGCCCATATTTCATGAGAGGAAGCTGCAGCACAGTGGAGGGTTGTTTTATTGTGAAATTTGGGCTACTCCACATTCTTTGAGGTCTGGTGGCCGGAAGTAGGACAATGTCACCCTCATCTAGACTTTGTCAGGGAAAGGTTTTTCTGCCCATAGGTATTTTTAAATAAGAGGACTGTGCCACTGAGGTGAAAGGTCTGCTTTAATATGACGTGCAGTATTATTTGTTATGTCGGTATTTAGTTTGCATGCCTTTTGGGCTCATGTACATACGTGCTGTATTCCTACATTTGACACGTGTTGGAAACACAAGTCAGATGCAGCTTAGTGAATTTCCATGTACACAGCAGTTCAGAGGCTGCAATTGACTTGTTTTGCATTGCGATGTATTTCTTCGGGTGCAGCATGTTCCAATAGGGAGTCCTTCACACAGACATAGAGGTCCATGTACCTTAAAAAAAATGGACTGATTCCTGCACCTAGGAGCCATAAGTGTTGTGTACAGACCCCCTGTACAAATCAATGAGAGATTGCTGCCATATGCTGGTAAACACTGCTCCGAGTGTATACTTGTGTACGGGTAAGGATGTACTTCCCTGAACTGCAGTAATAGCAGCTCAAATGAAACCTTTTCTTGTCATATTCTGTTTTTGACAAGAGGGCCTGTTTTTGACAGCATGAGCTCTTCTAGCAAAAGTGGACAAATTAGCATGGAATTCATGAGCCAGTCTGTCCAATCCAGGAGTAGTCATGATTTTCTTTTTTCAGTAGTTCACTTCATTGACAACAACTAGAGAAAACCTCTAAAGTCGGGCGCCAGATGTTTATTTTAAGAAGCATTGGCTACCCGGCTTCTGGAATTTGTCCAATCCAGCCTTTGTAGTAATAATTTGTTTGTTTGTTTTTTGATTTTTTTTTTTAGGATGACATTCTTAAAGTATTTTTAAATTACACTTTTTGTTAGAAAAGCGCTTGTATAGATAATAGACTATCGGATACTTTTCTGGTACTGATAATGTTTTTTCAGCATTTAGAAGTTAAACATTTACCTCTTGCAGTTTAACTTGGCAATCAAGGACATCCCTGAGGTTACCCAGGAAGCCAAGAAAGCCCTCTCTGGTCAACTGCCTGCAGTTGGACGTTCCATGTGTGTGGAAATCTCTTTGAAGACCTCGGAGGTATATTATGTATATGACTGCTGCTATGAGTTTTTTAAGTACTAAAAGTGTAATTCCACGTTTTAGTTAAAGAAAAGAAAAATCATTCCACGTCAAGCATTCTTCATTGGGCTCTTATCTCCTGCTGTTAAGTCTACAGCTGGGTACACACCGATAGATTTTTTTCGTTCAGTCTCTGAGGCTGAAGAATAAATATATCTTATAGATTTCTCAATCTGTGTGGCTGGACAAATCTCCCGATGTGTCTTTTGTATTCTGACAGCGGCGCCGGTCGCTGTCAGAATACCTGAACTGTGCTTGCAGCTGACTGCCGACCCGGCCATTTTCAAACATGTCCCTTCAACAAAAGTCAATCTGACAATTGACTTTTGTCGAGGAGATGGTTACCCACCAATTGGCAGAAATTCAATCTGTGTGTACCCAGCTTAAAGCTCACATGTGCATGCCATTCATTTCCGGTGGGCTAAGGTGGCTGCTATAGTCACATGATCAGTCCCAGTGTTGTAATGAGAGGCAAACTGTGAGGAACAGCATTGGTCAGCACACACTGCACACCAGGGATGCAGGTTTACTTTAAAGCAGACCTTGCACTGTAGAGAAAGTGTTAAAAGTATATATTTTACTGCTAAATACCTTTTGAAGCCTCTGCTGTAGTTCACTATTCCCTCTTCCGTTTTAGAGCTGACACAGCAATGTTTTTTGGGTTCGAGTGCAGCTGGTCTGCTGACACTTTGGGGTTCATGTATAAAAGTTCCACTGGGCTTGTAGCCGGGCGTATGCTATTGTGTGCAGCACTAGCTCCCCTAGATGGGAATGACGAGTATAAGTATTTCCTATACTCTCCAGTGCCATGTAGGGGCACTAATGCCATGCAAACTTTTTTTTTTAAATACACCCCCTTGTATATGTAGTGTGTAACGCACCATTCAGGATATTTGGGGGACAAGTTTGAAAGAAATATACAGAGAGATAAAATCCGAGGAAACAATAAAGAACGAAGCAAATAGAAAAGGAAGCATATTGGGATCAATAGGAGGAGAGGTTGAAAGCTAAACTCCAGCCAAACAGCTAATCACACACACCAATTTAGACAGGAGCCAAAAAACCTATCGGCATGTCTTTGGAGTGTGTGAGGAAACCATGTTACCTTGAATAAGCCCACACAGGTACAGAGAGAATTATGCAACCTCCATGCAGATTGCGTCCGGGCTGGGAATCAAACTGAGGACCCCAGTGCTGCAAGGCAGCAGTGCCAACAATGGAGTCACTATGATTTCTGTTTTAATGGTGATGTACAATTTGCTTCCCTCCAGCCCCCGAAGAAATACAGGTCCCTGTATTGTGGGGCTTATCTTCAACATTAACAGGGATCCTGCATATGACTTCTGCTGAAATATTATTGATAATAATTCTCCATATGTTGCAGGGTGATTCCATGGAGCTTGAAGTGTGGTGTCTGGAAATGAATGAAAAGTTAGTGACATTTTTTTTCTTCTTCTGGGAAATGAAAACATTTGACATTGAAGACATTTTGTTTTAGAGTGACCTTTCAATGTATTATTGCATTGTGCTTTGTGTCTTGTGCATACCATCCTCCAGTATCTCTGTAGAATACATCTGAAATGTCATCTTTGATGACTAAGAATTGTAGATTCTGGGCCGTGTTCTAAGGAAAATCTCTGAAGGTAGCACACTCAATCGCTTGATCTCGCCGTCACTGACAGCTTCTGGTCACAGACTGACCATCAGAAGCTGGTAGCACAGGCTCCTGATCACATAATCACTGTAACAGTGAGGACCCGTTCACACCATCCAATGTGTTTATCACACAGTCCCATGGCATGAAAGCACTGGATCGCATAATCAAAGCCTCCCTGTGTTCTGGGGTGGTAGGGGGCGTAGTGGTGCCATTCATTTCAGTGGCACCGCAGACATGTCTCCCGCCCGCAGTGCAATCACCTGCCCCAGAGCGCGAGCTACCGCAATACCCTGTGCAAGTGATCCAGTGCATTCATGCCACGGGACTGCGCAATGAACGCACTGGATCATTTGAACGGGCCTTTAAGGCTACTTTCATGTGGCTGCTGTCTGTTCTGATCTGCAGGCGATCCATGCACAGATGCTGATAGGTGCAGTACGGAACAGATGTCACTAAATTTACGATGGAGGAAAAAACTTAGCTGACCGGACCCATGTTAGATTTACTGTATGAGCAGTCGGCTGTAAGCAGACATGTGTCAGTTTACATCCCATTACCTCCAAACCCGTCCCGTTCAGGTGTGCCAAACGGAACTCCATTCCGTTTTTTTATTTTCCATTCCCCAGGCAATCGGCCAAGAGACTCTAATCCACTGAATCCAAAATTTACAAATATTGACTGTAGTTGCATGAATCCAGATGAAAATGAAATCATTTGGGATTTGTGAGGCAAGCATGTAAATTCCTTCAGAGGAATTGCCAAAGTTTTACCTGGACCAAAAATCTAGTTATAGAGTTCATCGGTTAGCCCTCGTTCACACCTGAGCGTTTTGTAGCGCGTTCTACGCTCGACGAACGCTCTACAAAACGCTCAAAAATATAAATCCCATTGTATTCAATGGTCTCGTTCCCACCTTGGCGTATTTCCGCCCGTCCCTAACGCGCTACAAAACGGCCCACGCCTGAAAAGGTCCAGGTACTACTTTGGGCCGTTTTGTTGCGTGTTTCCATTGGGATACCGCCAAGTAGCCTTCGGAAACGCACGACAGTCGCGAATCGCGGTAAAAAAACGCGCGACGGTCGCGCATATGCAATACGCCTAGGTGTGAACGAGACCTTACACCATCTGCTGGTGAGAACACAGTACAACCATGTCAAAATCTTTATCCAGCAGTTTCAGTGGCTGGATTTCTACCAGCATGACGTTTATGTGGTGTATTTTTACAGATGTCATGTGCCAGTTTCTATTTGCTATGACCCCTCTCTATGGTTTTTATGACTTATTGGAGTTTATTTGTATTTTAGATGTGACCGGGATATAAAGGTCTCCTATACTGTGTATAACCGGCTGTCGCTGCTACTGAAATCCTTACTGGCGGTCACCAGGGTAACGCCAGCCTATAGGCTGTCCAGGAAGCAGGGGCATGAATATGTGATTCTCTACAGGTATGTACATCAGCCTAGAGATGGGCTTAGGGCCTATTCACACCTATGCATTTTTCCCCCTTGAAGCGTTTTTCATTGAAATCCTTAGAAGCTTATCAAAATGTATGTCAACAAGAGTTGAGGCGCATTAAAGTGGACCTTTACCCCCCTTGACTAAAAATCACATAAGCATACAGCTCTGCATGCTGATATGAAATCATCTTACATTCATTAGCTAAACCTTTTTTATTTTACGTGCAACTTCTTTCTTTCTACTTCCTGGTCCACTTTGGCACAAATGATGTAATGGTGCCCAATTGCATCCTGGGAAGGTTATATCAGCAGAGCATTGCTGGGAAATCTCATCTGTAATGTCAAAGGTCTCAGGGAAAGGCATTTTCCTCCCCTGAGATGATGTGTATGGTCACATGTCCTAGTCACATTTGTCAGCGTTCCAGGAAGTAAAAGAAAATCTAGTAATCTGCCCTTAGTTAAAATGGCCACTGTCAGAAGCCTGAGAAAGAAAAGTAAGGTATGCAAAAAATAAAAAGCCGGCAATTATCTAGAAGTATGTGTCCGTAGATTGTCATTACTAAACATTTCTAAAAAAGCCTTTGTTGTCATTTTGAAGATATGGGTAAAGTTCCTCTTTAACATGCGTTGTCACATGTTTTAATGCGCATAACAATGCATGACACCTTGTTTTCCTAATTTGACTCTGTAGCATACTGGGAAAGCCACACCCTCCCAACCCCATGACCGGAGAATGCTGCATTACAGCTTTAAGGGTCTTTTTATTTACAGTCATGTAAAGGAATGTGTGTTTGCAGCTAGCATTCACATGTATGAGTATTAAGGGTAATTGTATGCAGATATTAATATTTTCTGCTCTATTTTTGTCTTTGCAGGATATATTTTGGAGATGTTCAGCTTTTGGGTCTTAAAGAAGGTAAAATATAACATTTTATGTTGACCATCCCTAGGAATGACTGAACTGTCATATAATATTCTCACTGTCTATTATAATTACACTTTAATCTAAGCTCAAGATTTATTCCAATGTGCACACTAGTAGTCAGAGATTGCTTGATGGGCCAAAGCCATACTAGATCCAGATTTGGATTTTTTGTTTGTGTTCTATTCTTTTTTGTTTTTTACATATAGCTGCACTTGAGTTTATATCTATTCCTCTTAAAACTGAAGTAAGAAAGGATTCTAATAGTACTAGGATTGCAGTGGTTTCTATGAGTGCTTCTAAATCCTTTCTGTCTTTGACTCTATCATTGATTCTAGGAGATACAGGAAGTACTAATACCTTTGTGGATGAGTGTTTAGAAAATATCTTTCTTATTTTGACCCCATACTTTATTCTAGGCTTTCAGGCGGTACGTGTTGGAACAGTGGGGACCCCTATAGGGACGCTTACCCTGACCTGTGCCTACAGAACTAACCTGGCTTTCATGTCTACTCGGTAAGCCTTGTCTTCCTCTGATATGAGTGCCCATACCAAAAGATCAGTGTTTTCTGTGTACACTCACACCCTCCTACGGATAAATCCAGAGCAGTGTCACATGACAAAGGAGCTGGCAATCCTCCACAGTGCTCCTTGCAGGCTCTTTGCCTGCTGCCTTTGTCATATGCGCTTTTCCCACCTCTCTCCTGCCGTGGTGGGATTAGGTGATCTATAGGACTGCGGGGACAGGCAACTAAATAACATATCAATGTGTTTATTGCATTTCAGGCAGTTTGAAAGGACTCAGCCCATCATGGGGATTATTATTGATCACTTTGTTGACCGACCTTTCCCCAGCACCTCACACATGCATCCCTGCAACTACAGGTGAGGACACAGGTAGCATGCACACGGATCACCTACAAGCACAGAGGTCCCCAGCCTAAAAGGCCTTTTCTGCAGAAATCCCACAGACAAAAATACACAATGCCTTGGAACACAAGAGGCTTTTTTTTTACATATTCAGTAAGTTACATTTTTGAAGGGTGACATTTAAAGAGAAACTGTACTGAGTACTTTGGGGCTGCCAATGCTCACCTTAAATGCTAGAATCCTTGCTGTCTCTGGCTTCATTATGTTGAGTCACTGACCTGGATCAAGCATAAAGCACAGTGAAGTGAGAAACTGCTTACTAGTTGCATGTCAGTGAATGAGGAGGCACTGAAGACATTGGATTAGCAAGACCACCATGCAAGCAGCATTTTCCCAAGGAAAGAAAGCTATTCTTTATGCTATCCTATTTAAAATGACCTGTGCATAGTGGCCGTCTTAAATTCTTTGTCTTCATTTCTCATATCACAGCTCTCTGGCAGTCCCTAGATAGCAGCTGTGCAAATATGTGTAACAAGCAACATCACTTTCAGAGATCTGATATCTGTGAAGTCTCCCCAGAACAATGGCATTTTCTCTACATCTCCATTTGAAATTATTGTAGTAACTGGAGAAGCCAGTAGAAAAAACTACTGAGAGCTGCAGAGTGAAAACTGTAGATGTAAATTGTTGTGAGACTTTATTTTTCCATTAATTTACCTCTCATCGCTTCTGAAATTCTTACTTATGTGAGAATGACATCCTAGCCACCCTCAGCCTCCAGGGATACTGTCACACATCCCAGGTGCCTCGGTTGCTTTACAGTGCTTGCGCACTATATGTCATCAGGGGGGTGGCTGTCTCCTCTTGGTTCTTTCAGCTGACGGGCATGTGCCATGTCATGTCATCAGGGGGCCAGGTGCAAGAACCCAGATGCGATAGCCGCCCCCCATGACATAAATAAAGAAAATGACTGCAGCAGGGCAACACGGGAGTCGTTGGAGATGCGAGTATGTATTTTGAACATAACTCATTGAACAAGGTAAGGTAAGAGAAAACCTGCAGTTCAGCTGTCCAGCTTTTCCCAGCAGCTTCAAGGCTACCACTGCCATAGAGCTCTATTGTTGTTAAACCACCCTTGGAATCCCTCTACTTTTAAATGGATTTCCAAGCCTGGATTGTACCCACACATCACAACCTGCTTTGCTGGCTATCTAAAAGTGGGTTGTGTAACCCAAAGAAAAACAAGCAACCCTGTTCAATGATGGAAGCCGTCAGCTGATAAAATAGCTGGTCAGTAAGGGATCTGATTAGAACACCCCTGCCGTTCAGCAGCAGAGAAGTGTTTAGAATTTCCAGTTCCTCCTGAAATGAAATACCAATTTAGTTTAATGAGGCAAAGTGTAAATGTCACACTTCAAAAATATGCTAAAACTTCTATAATAATGAGATAAAACAGTGGGCACATTGTCTACATTTTACCATCTTCCTTCTTTCCAGTGTTATGTCTTCTGCAAAGTGTCAAGGCCTCTTTTATATTGTATTTTATATGCACAAAATACAACAGGCATAATTATATGCTCCTAAATTTAGCTGAGGAAGATCTTTTTTGTGTTCTGGACCATCATTCATGCTAATCCCTTTTTATTAGGAGCTCTAACAGCTCTGACTACCGGCCTCTGTAATGTCAGTGACTCCTTGTGATTTGTCACCATGCTGTCTTATGAATGTTTAGAAACAAATGGCTGCTTTCACTGCTGCAGGTGATAGGTTAATATTTTATAAAGACTGTTAGCCCAACTCCAGCCAAATCGTTTCAGTTTTAGATGGTGAGGAAATTTAGAACCCCTGTTGTGATTTTTTTATTGTTGCCTGTGTCCCTTCCTTTTCTGTCCTGATCACAGGGGCTCAGAGGAACAGGAATTGATGGAAAATCTCTCCAAAGTGACAAACACTTTTTTTTAAAAAGTAGTGAAGGATTATAACCTGTCTTTTTTTGTTTTTTGGACTGTGCGGTCCTGGTAACACATACTACTTCCATTTTTCATCCTGGTGTCACATGGACAGGAAGTAGAAGATTTCCCCAGTGGCATCAGAGACGGGAGTAAAAACCTGACTGAAGTTCTAATGATTTCCTACGCTATCCAAAACTACATTTTACAGGTTTTGGCTGAAGTTGGGCTTTTAATACCAAAATCCGGTTCCTCACCTGAAGTATTGTGGGATTATTATTGATTTTCTCACCGGGTTGTTCCCACAGCTGGACCAGCATATTTACTGCTTTTGCAATTTGTGAAAGGGACTGTCCTTTTCCGGAGTACATTTTAATGTAAAATTGGCTTAATAAGGTAAGAAATGTTTATAAAAAAACATTTCTTACCTTTAAAAAACTGAGCATTTTCTGCGTTGTCAACTACTGCTAAGACGTTACCTGAGAATGAACTGGAAATTACTATTTTCTAACTAAAAACAAACAAGTGTTTCCTTCAAGTAGACATCTGATATCTCTGCTTCTGTAAAACTTTCTTCACACACAATTACTAACGCTCTCTGTCCCTGCTTTTACAATACAGGTATCAAAGCACCATAAGTTTATATTAAGTTCCATAACTATTTTGATGTTACCTACAGGTCAGAGGATAAAGCCATTGAATTTTGGGGGTTCACAGCTTCCCCTTCATCAGGGTTTGATTGCTGGCAGTGATTGGGGTTTACTGAACAGCAGTTGTATAAAACTAGGATTAGAGTAAATGCCGGTCACCACCCAGGCAGCTGCTTTTTACAATGTAATATTCAGTTTGAGCTGCAGAGAATAATATGCTTTCTCAGCTCTCTGGAAATGATGGGATTCTTCATATTGAGTGTGGTCATGCTTCAGGAAACACGCAATGAAACACTCAGCTGTGAATGGGAATATCATGCAAAAGTAATTGCAGTAAGTGCTGCAAAAGGGGCCCAAACCAAGTACTGAGTACATATGCATGCTTGTACTTTTCAGAGGTCCGATATTGTTCTATGTACAATCCTTGTTTTATTGATTGCATGTAATCTACTTTTTTGAAGTTGTGGATTTGGGGTTCTTGGGGTTTTCATGAGCTGTAAGCCATAATCATCACAATTATGACAAATCACGGCTTGAACTATCTTGCTTTGCATGTAATGAGTCTCTCTCATATATTAGTTTCACCTTTTAAGTTGCATTAGTGAAATAAATGAACTTTGCACGATATTCTAATTATTCGAGTTTCACCTGTATGTGTCGGTCTGTGCAACCTTTTTTCACACTAGTGTGATTGCACAGGTAAAGACTGTGGACATTATGGCCAGGTGATCACACGTACATACATACATGGGCATTCAGGAAGCCGAGCAGCATGTCATTACCTGCGCCCAACTTCTTAATTGCCCGGGAAGCCGGCTCCATGCTGTTTGGTCTGCTCCATGCTGATTGGCTGGGAAGCCGGCTACCTGGCCAGTCAGCTTTGAGCCGGCCAAACAGCATGGAGGTGGCTTTCCGGCCAATCAGGAAGCCGGGCTGCGAGTCATTACCAATGGCCCGACTTCCTGATTCGCCAGGAAACCGCCTCCATGTTCATTCCCAGCAGGAAATCTCCCTCTGACCGGAAGTTCCGGTATCGGGATAAGTATCAAGCATTTGAGTGAGAACGAGTACTCGCCCAAATACTTGGTATCGGCACCTATACTAGTATCGGTGCATCCCTATATATATCTATAGATAGATATAGATATATATCTATATCTATCTATAGATATAGATAGATGGATATAGATATAGATAGATATAGAGGGAGAGAGAGAGAGTCAGTCCCGGGGTAGACACATCATTCTCTTAGTAAAGTAAATTCCCAGGTGTTAACTGAACTAAAAACTGATCCTTGCAGTGATCCTCCCTCCACACTACAAGGGTTAGTTGCTAGTTGTGGTCTAAAGTGAAGCAGGAAAATAATTTTTACTTGCCTTATCCCTCAATCCTGCAGGCTTCCTCCCAGCTGCACAACCAGTCCCAAAACACTTTTCTGTTCTCTCCAGACAAAAACAAGCATTTAACCCCTGCAGTATGGAGGGAGTCACACTGCTAGTGTCAGTCATTTTTTTTACCCAGAGTTCAGCTTTAAGCTTCAGAATTTATTTAGAAGGCGTTGGATCCAACCTAAACAAAATGTCAGTTTTCAGTCTGTCCATCTCTAATATGGGTTGTAACATTACCCTGGTATCATGTTTGAAATGTTACAAACACTTTAGTGGATTAAAACTGATTTATCACAATGACAGGAGGCAGCAGCACATCCAGTGTCCAAATGGCCTCTCTTATAACGTGTTTTGCAAGAATCTTGATAAGCGTTAAAGAGCCATTCAAATCAACAAGTGTAATCAATCAATGAATTGTTAGACAGCCAGTGAACCTTGCTACTGTGCTAAAGTCAGAACGGCCGGGCAGTTTACTTTAAATGCCACTCCCGCTTTGGTTCTGAACTGCGAGGAAGCACTGCAGCTACTGGTCACATAATTCAGTGCCATGCATCTTCCAGTTTTTCTGTTTGGGGAATACAAGGGCTGGTCTAGATGGGAAAATGCAGCATACTTTAGGGTGCATTCAGCTTGCATTTGAGATAAGATTGATATCTGTCGGCGTACCTTCACAGGTGATTCTTACTTGCAGTCGACCTTCTAAGCTGCATTAATTTGATTTTGCATACTCGCTAACTTGAGTGTACTGTATATGTAGAAAAGCAGTTGTGACATGAACGGACGCTAATGTACACAGGCCCTAAAAAGCCTATGGGTGGGTTTGAGAACACTCAGTCTACTTTTTGACATGAGTCTGTAGCAGGTGTTCCCAGAACACCACCAGCAAGGTGAGGCGGGTTGGCCTGGTGCACTACAGCTATACCTGATTTGAAATACACAAGTCTCAGACAAGTAGACTCCTGAAGCTATATGTGTTTTAAGGCTTAATGTTCAATTCTTGATTGTCCTTTTAACATGTGACAGCTGTATATAATTTTATAATGACACATTTTCCATTTCTTTTACTAGTTACAGGTTTTTGCTTTTAACCAATCCAGATGTATTTCTTTGTGCATTTTTTTTATTGTAATATTTGCTAACAGGGGGTCTGAGGAGCAGGGCACTGTATACCCGGCTGTGGAAGATTCCCAGGATGTCTGCACCACGTCTTTTTCTACGTCCCCCCCATCGCAGGTGAGCCTATCACTTCCTGCGAGGTGCAGCATAAACCATCTTGTACCGTTTGGTGCCTCCCTAATGCAAATTTACACAACGTTCAGTGAAGCAGAGATCCATGTTTGAGCTTTTGCTCTGACTGTAGACCTGCTGTGTGAAGCTTGTGTCTGGCGATGGACCGGGAGAGTGTAGAAGTAAGGTTATCGCTTTTCACATGGGAGGTTTATTACTAGCTGCTTTAGATGAAGTTAGTCCTGTACCTGCACTTATATCTTTCTTTTCTGCTGTCTCTTTGTTTCTCTCTGTCTGTGGCTTGCTGTGTGTAGTGTGTGTTTACTTTCAGCAAGGCACAGGGTCAGACAGCTAATACTGTCGTGACTGACTCTCACAGGGTCCTGACAATGGGACTGGCCTTCCCACACCAAGTGAGTTCAACAGTGGCATGTACAGTGTGTGGGTGTGTGAGGATAACCTCCTTAAAGCAACTCTGTCCTTAAAACCTAAACTAGAGTGCTTCCAGGAAGAAAAATGTAGATACAACCCTCTCCTCCTGCCCTCCTGCTGCGGTAGTAAGGAGAGATCGCCCGTTGTAGAACCTTCAGAAATTGACACTTTTGGCAGTGTTGGATTCCTAGCACCCTCCCCTGCGCTCAGTGGTTTCATCCGATGGCCCCTACATCACTACTGTATCTTGTACTGGTGTAGGCGGGAGCAGCGGGAAGAACCACAAAGTGCAGCAGGGGATTAGGAAACCTGCATTTCTGAAGACATATATTAGTGGGCAATTTCTCCTTAATACTGCAGCAATCGGCACTGAAGGCAGCTGGAGAAGCAAGTATCTGTTTTTCTTGGCAGGGAGCTCTTTAGTTTATGTTTTAGCTTCAGTGACAGAGACACTTTAAGCAAAGTATTTGTTCCTGTACATATAGACACATGCATTTCAAAATACCCCAAGTAGTTGTTTTTTCTACTTTAAAAAATCCTATTTCTTACCTGCATCCCAGTGTTTGAATGCATTTCTTCCCTGAAGGGCAGTCTTATAATCCTTTCCCGGACTACATTTCCCGGTGAACCCCATTCTAGTTGCATCATGAAGCTGCATCTGATTGCTTGTTTTTGAGCATGCTCAACCTGTTAGTTGTGGATTCCCATTAACTGTAAGGGTGTCTTATTATTTCTTTTCCTCGGCAATAGATTGTCACCCAGTGTGGAGGTGCAGCACTATAATATAAAATAGCATAATCATATACATGAATATCTACAGCTTTTTTTTTTTTTCTCCCTTCTTTCTGACATCTGAAACCAACATCCTTTATACACTTATTCTTTAGCAGGTTTGGGTTCTCTCCATTAATATCTTGTCAATACTTTCTGATCCTTTCCAACTTACAACCATAGCCCAGGGCAAGATCTTTGTGAATGAGAGGCACTGATGTCTGGCACTGCCTTAGTAGCCATTCGGGGTCTTTACTCTACAGAGATCCTGCCCCATACCATGACTGTAACCAAGAAGGGACGAGGAAGCATCAGAGGGCTGTTAATCGAAGAAGCCTAAGCCCACTTGGGTCTAATTATTTCAAACCTGTTGATTTTGGGTGGTGGGGGAGCATGAGTTGTAGTTAACCTGAACCTATTAGCTAGACGTCGTTAGGATGGCCAGGTACCGTTTTGTGGGGTTTGGTTCTCTTAGAGTGGACACCACAAAATGCGCACCACGTAAGCCAGAAAATATTCTCTAAACTCGCTAAGATAAAGGTCGCTTCCACGTCTCCAAGACTTAAACCCCACCAAGTAACATGCTTCTGTCCAATGATAGTGCCTCAACAGCCCATAAGGGCATTCTCATTGGACAGTTCATTGAGATTACAGTTGGTGGGGCATAGTCCTAATGTCACTGAAGTCATGCCCCTAGTAAAAAAACAAAACAAATCGGTTTCAGAGAGAGTTTCTGGCAAGCAAGCAGAGGCACAGACCTCTTATATCTATGCCCTGCTGTTTGGCTAAACTTTTTTTATTGCAAACACTTACATTAATGGACAAGTTCACTTTGAACAACTCCACCCTAAACAATTCAGTACTGGTTGGAAGGTGTTTGGCCGTGTTTATGTATAATAATGTGTGACCTCTGGAGCTGTGACTTCAGTCAGAATCCTCTGAACACACTGCCAGTTGCAACATGGGATGCTGGGTATGTCACAGTGTTGGCAGTGGAGTGAGGGATCGTGGGAAGATCACATCATTGGCAGCGGAATGAGGGATCCTGGGAACATCACATAATTGGCAGCGTAGTGAGGGATCCTGGGGGCATCACAGTGTTGGCAGTGGAGTGAGGGATCCTGGAAATATCACAGCTGCAGACCCTGGGACATGGGGGCAGGTATACATTTTCACACCAGGCATACGAATCAGACGCTACCCAAAAACTAAATTTGATTTGATTGACGGTTTTGCGGTTTGGGCTTTTTATGGCTACTGCACAGTAACAGTGAGTTGTGGAGTCACGTGCAAACTCGCATTACTGGAATGAGCAGGGCACCTGGGAGGGTGTTAAGTGCTTATTAATCTTGGACAGAGTGCAGTTGTTCCATTTCTTTATTTCTTCCTTCCTCCTTTCTCTGTCTCACTGTCTAGCTGTACAGCTCTCGCCTTTCCTATCAGCCGACTGTCCTTGGAGCAGGATCCTCCGAGCCGTGCTACCAAGTGGCCTTGGCTGCTGGAGTGAGCGCTACCCTTCCACACCAGGTAGTCCTCTGCGAATGAGAGTGGCAGAATGCATGCATGGGGCGTGTGACTGAGCATCTCCACCCCTTCTCATGTATTAGCTTGGATGTAAGGGGCTTTTTTCCTTCTGTATTGAGTATTAAATCCTTCTCTTCTTTTTTTCATTGCTTTTTAAACCCTTTTTTTTTTTTTTTGCTAATTGCTTTATCACTAGTCATTACAAAAACGTAGATGGACCAGTAAGATTTATGCATTGAACAGGAACATTGTCATGCATCAGCGCGCATTTTATTTCTGCTTTGACATTGCATGGTGACACGTTTCCCATGTGGTTTTTTTAAATTTAGCATATGGAGTGGATAGACTTAACAACCATTGACCAGCGTTTGTTCATACCTTTTGCCACAGGTATTAACAAACCACCTTATCACAGGTTGCATGCGCTTTGATACGTTGCCATTGACTTCTTTAGCAAATGCACTAATATGCAGAAAAGAAAAGAGACATCATGGTTTTCAAACCACACACACACTGCGGTGCTGAGATGGAAACAGACACTATTTTTATTATGGGGAAGTGTGTTTTAGCAGGTTGCAATGTGTGCATTGAAATGTAACCGTGTAAATGGGCTCTGAAGAAAGCCTTTAGTGATGATCACAAGTATTCAAGCTAGGAAGGGTTCGGATATAATTACAGTGGACTTCTAACTCTGGCTTCTCCCTGTAGATGATGGTACCAGGGAAAGAGGGTGGATTGCCCAACATCACTGCCCAGCCTGCCCATGGTACTCAAGCTGAACATGACCGGGTTCTCCTGACCTCACCACCTAATGTAACCGGCACCACTTCCAGCAGGTACATTTTCACCCCACAGGTTAATGTAAGGGGGTAAATTCGCCATTTTCTTATTGCTTCTGCTCATTACGGCCTTTCCTCCACAGCGAGGAAGCTGACACCCCGTCAGGCAGCAACACTGGGGGCCGAAGCAGCTCACCAAACAAGCCCCCTCACGTCCTCTTCACCCGCAAAGTTGGGGCCTTCGTGGACAAGCCCTCCCCTCAGGTGAATAAAGTTGTATGTCCTGTGTCACTGTGAACTGTTAAAGGAGATCTAAATTGTGTCAATCCAGTATAAGCTCACTTCCATCTCCTTCCATGTTGTGAGCGCTGGCTATCTGCTGGACATCTTTCAACAACTTCCTGAATTCCCTGCATGCTTTGTAGCTTCTCCTTCTATTTTTTTTTTTGTTGTCTACTATTAATTTTTAAGGACTGCATATCCCATAGTACCTTGCTACCTACAAGCAGTGATGTCACATGGTATCCTTGTATCCTAATTTCAGCCTAAGTTGCCATTAAAGGGAGAGTGAAATGCATTAATTCCCTTTGTTAGAACCAATGTGTGACACATATCTGCTCCATGAATCCAGAAATGAGTGATCATAAACTGCTGATTGCTCAGTTCACGATCTTCTCCCTGCAGAAATCCCAGCAGGGATCCCCCTCCATTCCTTCATCGGGAGGACAGACGGGGGAGGGGGCAACCACAGCTGTCTTTGCCCCTAGGGAGGCAGAGCTAGCGGTCAATCGGGCAGTGGGGTGAATCATGACGTTTCCGGCTTCAGCGCGGCTCTGCGTTGTCGGCATATAGTGGGCAATAGCCCACCATATGCTGAGTTTTGAATCACAGGAAAACATTAGAAAATAGCCTAATGTGACCATAGTTCTCTTTTAAGCCCCAGCCCTCTTCTGGTGCTAAGCCTCCTATCCCCATCATCATCAGCTGTTAGATGCCCAGAGTCTCTTCTGGCCACGGAAGCTCTGCCATTGCACTGATGAATGGTAAGGGGGTATTGTCCTGGCTGTGCGGATCTCGTCTCTATCCCAGGAACAGGGACCCCTCACTGTCAGATGTTAAAGCCTTTATTTTATCACATGTGTCGGAACAATTTAAAAGAGGAAATTGTTCTGGTTCATTACAGCTAATACATAAGGTTATAAGGCAGGCAAATTAACATTCATTAGGTACATCCTTTGATGGGCAGTTACAAAGATGAATTGAAGAATAAAACAGACTTATTTAGTCCAGAAAGGGCAATCTTGGAAGCCATTTTTTTTTTGTGACTCAAATAATTTTTTTTTTACTAATTGCTTTATCACTAGTCATTACAAAAACGTAGATGGACCAGTAAGATTTATGCATTGAACAGGAACATTGTCATGCATCAGCGCGCATTTTATTTCTGCTTTGACATTGCATGGTGACACGTTTCCCATGTGTTTTTTTTAAATTTAGCATATGGAGTGGATAGACTTAACAACCATTGACCAGCGTTTGTTCATACCTTTTGCCACAGGTATTAACAAACCACCTTATCACAGGTTGCATGCGCTTTGATACGTTGCCATTGACTTCTTTAGCAAATGCACTAATATGCAGAAAAGAAAAGAGACATCATGGTTTTCAAACAAAGATGAATTGAAGAATAAAACAGACATATTTAGTCCAGAAAGGGCAATCTTGGAAGCCATTTTTTTTTTGTGACTCAAATAATTGTTGTTCCCGGGCATATGATCACTGCAGCAACCTGTAGGTCTTTATATCTAGCCCTGCCCTCCAAGTCATTTTTGTGTGAAAAATGGGTACTTGCTCCATAGAATGCAAAGGCCGTGGTTCTGGGTATGTGTGCTGAGACCATATATGTGTTTTTTTATCATATGGCCATATTTTTGCATATGCTTTAAAACATTAAATTATAGCTGTAGCCCGCCAAGTAATCCCAATTGTTTTGGGAAAAAGGCTGCTTACTCCCCCACTATCTCTTTGGGTCAGTCATGTCAATGACATTATGCAGATGGAAGAACTTCTTGCCTCCGATACAGATACCCTTGCCAAATTTACAACTCAGTGGGGGGCTGTGGCTACATTTTTCGACCTCTACAGAGATCCGTACGTTCTTGTAATTTGCTTTGCTTTACATTCCCATTACCTGCTAAGCCTGGTTACCTAGATGCTACAACTCCCAGGTGGATCTCAGTGTCATGCTGGTACCCTCCCAGGGTTCCCTTTTCCCTGTCTTCCCTCTTTCTCCCTCTGCTCCTGTACTTGTCTAGTCTTTTTTTCCTCCTGATTCTTAGGCTTGAACTTTCCTTTTTCCTAATTCTGTATAAACATCTATTTAGATCAGTTCTTGTAATTCATACATGCAGTGAATATATTTTTCTTTTTATTTGGTCATCCAGGAACCGCCTTACATATTCCTTGAAGTACAATCGTTGCCTCAAGGATGGTCACATGTGCTGTCCTTGTCGTGTACACTTTATTATATTCTTCTAGGATCTTTTATTGAGCGCACTGTTTGTTTACTGCCACATTATTCACCGTGCATGCTTCCGCTCATTGTCACTGGACCACTGCCTTATGATTTTGTCTACATGCTGTTTCTATTCTTTGTCAACTTCAATAGAACTGATTCAACTCTAAAACATTCCATTTATCCATTAGTAGGTGGTAAGAGTAGAATTCCTATGTCTCCTAAGAAAAGAAAACTGGTAGATACTGAAACTATGATTAACGTACAAACTGTCACATCTTCAAAGCATACTTGTGGAGGGTTTCAATCTTGCCAGTAGTAAAGTGGTTAATGTTGGATGACCCAAGACAGCTTTGTTTCTGTTCACAGGTCACCTATGCCAGCAATGATATTCCTTTCGCTGTGTTTGCACCCAAGCTTGCTGACCTTGAGGAGAATGACACCATGGTAGGTTCCTTTTGCCTAGACCACACAGATAGAACGGACCTTGCAGTACAATGCAAGGTCCACTTATAATGTCCATGTCCTCTCCCTCCGTGAAAATCACTTGCCTTTAGTAGTTTAAAAGTGTACCAAGGGTGTCACTCCCTGAGATTACTGAGGAATGTGGATCAGCCCAGATCTCATGAGACAGTCCGGTCCATTGCAAGAGCATCTTCTTGCAAGATTTTGGCTGCTCTGCACTCCCCGGGATCTTGCTGGGGGTAGTTTCAAATTGTATCTAGGGGTGACATCACTTCCTTACTGGCAAAATTAACAGGGAATGTAGATCAGCCCAAATCTCTTATGACACTCCAGTCCATTGCAAGATTTTGGCTGTCCTGCATTCCCCATGGATCTTGCTTGGAGGAATTTGACATCACCCTTGCCTAGGTACCTCAGGTGGACATTATAAGCAGACCATGCAATTTACTTCAAGCTTTCAGGGCCTACCCTTCTTCCTACGTCTTGGCTATAAACAGGCCCTGAGCTTCAGATCAATTTGAGGTTAAGCCCCAACCCTCTCTTGACGCTCTCTTGTCATTCAGATGCCAAAGTCTCTACTGACCATTGAATCTCTGCCATTGGGCTTTGAATGGTAGGGGGTATGACGACTGATTTGGGCAATCGAGGTACTGTGTACAGCATGAGGCTGTATGTTGCTACAAGTGCACGAATATGGCTGCCATCACCTTATGTATTTACCTGGACACAAATCAAAAACACTAGTAAAAGGCTGACCTGACAAGTCCTTGACCTATCAGCTGGTGTGACATGAGACCACTGAGAATAGAAATGTCAAAGGTAAAAAATGAACATTCCATGTACAGAACTGAGGTGCGCGCCAAGATTCCGTCATTACACTTACAGCGATACTGCATCAACCTGCTTCAAGTTCTTACTTGGGCTGATTCATGAAAACAAGCCCAAAGATGGAGTTGTTGCCCAACTCAACCAATCAGAACTTTTTCATAGAATGAAAGGTGAAAACTGATTGGTTGCTGTTCATCAAAACAATTTTGCGCTCATTTTCTTCTTCCCAATTTTAATAACGAAGTCACAATGACTTAAAGGACTTCAAAGAACAGTGTACTTCATTTATCTCTCCCATTAAAAAGCTCTCTAGGGAGAAAGCGAGTGGAAATGGGACCCGGGGCTCACACAAACCCTGACAGTATCAGTATTTCACATATCCTGCCTTTTGCTTTGTAGCTGGTCTGTCCCGACAGTCCCGAGGAGGTGTCGCCAGATGCTGGGAGCTTGCAGAGTTCCTGTTCCAGTAGTGAGGTGCCTCAGGACGACTTTGTGATGGTGGATTTTGTAAGTGCTCCTAATAAAAAAGTGCTTTCTGTGTTTGCAGATGATGCTGAAAATGGGAGGGTAATAGAAACAGGCGTAGACAGTATAACATTGCAGGAGGACCTGGATAAAATAGGGGAGTGGGCGTCTATTTGGTAGATGAGGTTTAATGTTGATAAATGTAAAGTAATGCATTCTGGGGTTAAAAACAGGCAAGCGGAATTCACATTAATGGGGACTCCACTAGGGAAGGCAGAAAAGCGAAAAAGATTTGGGGGTCATAGTAGACCACAGATTGAGCAATAGCTTGCAATGCCAGGCTGCAGCAAACAAAGCGAGCAGACTTCTGTCTTGTATTAAAAAGGGAATGTACTGTAGAGACAAAGCAATAAGTCTGCCACTTTATAGATCGCTGGTTCGGTCTCATCTTGAATATGCGGTTCAGTTTTGGTCACCAATCCACAGGGGCTGGAGGACCAAAGCTATGAGACCAGGTTACTAAATTTAAACTTGTTCACGCTGGAAGTGAGGAGATTAAAAGAGGACATGATTTTAATGTACAAAATGTTTAGTGACGATGGCAACATCGGCAATACGTTTTTTACAGTAAACTCCGTAACAAGGACTAGAGGCCACCACCTAGAACTGGTGGAGAAAAGATTTAACAACAAAGGGCATAGGGGCTTCTTTTCAGTCAGAGCGGTTACATTTTGGAACTCTCTGCCACAAGCAGTGGTATCAGCAGAAAATATTGATCCATTCAAAAATCAATTGGATACCTTCCTCAGGGACCATAACATGCAGGGGTACAGGTACCCTTAAATCCTAAGACCACACAGGGACTCCTATACACACATGCACGCACTATACACACAGTTACACCTAAAGGTTGAACTCGATGGACCTGTGTCTTTATTCAACCTCAAACTTTGTAACTAACATGGCTGATTGACCAAATGTGGTCAGAGTACCCCAACACCTGCTGAACTGCATGGTGTCCGTATATTGGCTTGTGTGGGTAATATCGATAATCTGGATCCCTTTTTGCTACTGGTTCTCTTTTTTTCTTTCACAGCGACCAGCCTTCTCTAAAGATGATCTTCCCATGGATGTCGGGACTTTCTACAGGGAGTTTCAAAACCCGCCTCAGCTGAGTAGCCTCTCCATAGACATCGCCGTGCAGTCAATGGCAGAAGATCTGGTGAGGACAGAGACACTTATTATACAAGCCACCTCTGATCATACTGCTCAGTGGTGGATCTACCGCCTAAAGCTGTTCATGGGACTGATACGTGAGCGGGAAGTTCAAGAGGAAAAGTTCATTCGCCATAGAATCCCCTGTTAGCCTGGTCAGGCAGCATTGTAGCATTGATGGCAGTAATGTCACTGCTGGATATGAGTATAAAGCAAGTGAAGACTCCACAAGGGATCGGTAATAGATGGGCAGCTTGTTCAGTAGAGCTGCTTCCTCTGCTGGGGATTCTGGTGGGAAAGGAGGTGTATACATTTGTCATCAGGTTAGGTCTGTCTGCTGGTGGAGTGGAAGTTCTACTCTTCACAGCCTTTTTCATTGGTTTTTTTAACATCATTTTATTGTGAAAAGTTCATAAGGTAAAGTTTTGATGAAGCGCACATGCTGTCCAAGAACGAGAAGCCATGATTTACTAACAGCTGATTTCCAAATCCACTGGTAGATACACAGTTAAAACATATAGTTGCTAACTGTTGTACCTGCCAAAGGGTCTTGTGATCCAGACACCCCTGCTAGAAAGCACAGCTAGATCCTGGATCTCCCGAAACAATAGACCGCTGTACTCTTGCACGGTTGTACAGGTTCCTATGCTGTATGGAAATTGCTTACTCATATTTCACTGTATACTGTGATTTTCTCACTGTGTGCATTAGAAGCTGCAGCAAGTCAGATAGAGCCCGCCTCATTTCCTGCCTGGAGTATGTCCAGCATCATCTAGCACTTCCTGCCCCAACCTTACTGTCACTGGCTTGTCCCTTTCATTCAATGAATTTTAGTTCTTTCAAGGATTGAGGCTCAGCATCACATATGGGGGGATTACCTAGAATGATCTGCATGCAAATGCAGCTTGCCTAGGAATGCCCACTTCTCCAGACTAACATGTAAGCAGCAACACCTCCCAAGAGTCAGCCCACTGCTTGGATCAGGATTGAGGGCTCTCGAGTGTAGTACAGAGGCAGGATGCTGCAATGTTTTCTGGAAGCTATGTACTTCACCCTCCCACCAGCCATGATCTGCCTGCATTGCATAGAGATGTCAGTGGGTCTAATCTATGGTATGTAATGAAAACGGAAAGGTTTTATTAGCACGTTGATGAGGGGAGAAAGGAGGAACCAGAGAAGGCAAAACATAAGCAGAATGAACTTAAAAGAGAACTATGGGGTAAGTGTTTTCCCCGTAGTTCTCTTAAGGGTCACGGGAGGACATATACTAGCGTCGTCCCGTGACCCAAAGCTCAGTATATAGCGAGCTACAGCTCACGGTATACTGAGACTGCTGCAGCCGGGACGGATCCCGACATTACTGTCGAGATCCACCCAGCTGCGTGAGTGACAGCTGGCTCTGCCTATCTAGAGGCAGAGCCAGCTGTACCCGCCCCCTCCCCCGTCCGTTTCTTCAGTCAGCGCTGGAGGATCGGAGTGGGGAGGGGGGGAATCCCTGCGGGGAGTGGTGACTGACTCATGTCACTCACAGTATGTGTTCACTCACTTCCCGATCTATTGAGCCGACGTGTGACAATTTAATTTTCACACGTCGGCTCAAACTATGAGGTTGAGTGATTTTCACTCGCCTCATAGTTCTCCTTTTAAGTTTTAAGCAACACGTAACCGGTCCAGGACCTTCCTAGCCTCTGAGTGAATTAGAAGGATGGGGTCAGGGGAAGCTTTTATATAAGTGTAACTGCACCACATGTAATAAGTTTCTTGCAAAAGCCGGTACATGATTGGTTCTCTTTCAGCTGACAGAGAAGTTTGTTTCTTGAATAGGAAAGTCATGTTCCCTTCTGCCTACATTTTCACCCTCTGCTTTTCTCCACAGGATTCCTTGCCAGAGAAGTTGGCTATGCATGAAAAGAACATGGAGGAGTTTGATGCTTTTGTTGACTCTTTACAGTAAGATGAAGGACTCTGACCTTGGGAGGTGGTTCTGGATGATCTTCCATTGCCTGACCCCTCTGCTAAACTCAAACCCCTTCCTGTTGTGCCCTGTCCTGTAATTCATTAAGAAGCACTTTCCAGTCTTCTGCAGGGACATCCTTGCAGCACGGCTGCTGCATTTAAATCCTGAGCAGTGAAACGTAGCGTGCTTCTTACATCGGGCCCTGTATGCCGAAAGCTAAGACTCTTCCTAAGACACAGAAGCTTGGGCCTATGGTTGTACTGTTGGACATGGAGGCTAGATGAAAGCCAAGAGAAGGAGACTTGTAGGTAATACTAGCCATTGGCACCTCCTATATCTGTGCAGTCTGATCGCTGTAAATATGTCACAGACTGCCCCGCACCTTACATGTCCTATATGGACCCAGAGCATATGTACCATTCGCATTAGCACTACTTCTGCCCCCTCCTCCATGCATTTTCACCAGTTTCTTTCTCAGGTATACTATAAAAAAATGTTTCATTGTTTGTCCAATGTCCCCTGATACTCGCACAGTGTATCACAACCACACGTTGAATAACGCAACCTCCCTGTGCCCCCTCTGATATAGTTTCACTTTGTAACTGGGGCCCGACTTTGTAGCTCCTATTCCTCAACTGGAATTCCCCTGTCCACTGACTGAGAATGTCAGCAGGGCTTGGCCTGACATCGGTGTATTGCATTTTTGGGATTTCACGTACTCTCAGTAGGGCTTAGCCTGACATCAGAGGACATCAGTTAACAGTAACAAAGTGAAATGAAAGGGCCTAATTAGAATGGAGGATGGATACCGCCCTGCGCTCGGCACTTCGGTGTTTACTCCACAATGCGTCTGCATTTTACACGCCATTCATAAAATGCAGGCATGGAGCGGTGTGGAGCCTGCACTGTATATCAAAGTGTCCGTTGCATAATGATAGAAAGATCACTCTGTGATTGGAGGAGAGGACTTTGTGTGACCAAGCTTTCCTCCTGACAGCACTTCTTACAGTTATGGTAATGAATGGGGCTTTGCTAGCTTCGGTACTCCAAGCGGTAGACTCATTCCTACAGAGTAGCACCATACTGCTATTTATAATTGGCCCTTACAGAGGGGCACGGCGGGGGGTTTTCTGGATATTTAAGGTGAAAGAGGTTATATTTCTATTAAATTAATCTGCGCTGCGGTTCAATTGTTCCCTGTCAGCCGCTGTGCTATTTACCGTACAATGTCACCAAGAATCTCGTATGTATGTATATATAAATATATAGATATATCTATAGATCTATAGATATATA